CAGCCTCCCAAGTAGCTGGGACCACAGGCGCCCGCCACAACGCCTGGCTATTTTTTAGTTGCAGCCGTCATTGTTGTTTGGCGGGCTGGGCTGGATTCAAACCCACCACCTTAGGTGTATGTGGCTGGCACCTTAGCCACTTGAGCCACAGGCGCCGAGCCAAAAGAGACTTTTGTTTTGGTTTTGCATTGCTTAGTTTTGCTTTGAGGAAAATTCATTTATTAGAAAGATAGCATTTTCTTGTTGATCTTGGAAAACTACACATTCTTAGCATATTGATTTGAGAATATAAATGAGCAGCAGAGTTTAAGACCAGAGTGCTGGATTCTGGAACTATCAATCTCTGAAGTCCCTGTGCAATAGAGAGTGTGCTGGACGGTAATTGATTCTGTGCTGATGAGGAAAGTCCAGGAATTCCAACTCTTGTCTGCCATGAAGCTTGAATTTTGAAAGTCATCAGGGCATATGAATCGATATATCCAAATCTAACAGAGTTTAGTGTCTGTAAAATTAATTTGTGTATTTTTTTAAAATGGACATAATTTCTAAAAGTAAAGAACCCTTTTTTACTCCTTTAATTCTAGACTACTTTAAGTTAGTAACTTAAAGTATATTTTAGTGTTAAACTAAGCTTCCCAGTAATTTTCTTTCAGTGGTCCTATCTGTTCAGTCCATTTTTCCCTTGTACCTATATTTCCTTCCCCTGTTTTCCAGACCACCATTATACTCCACACTTTCTCATCACTTAAAAATATATATATAGGCTATATGCAGTGGCTCATGCCTGCCTATAATCCTAACACTCTGTGAGGCCAAGAAAGGGAGGATCTCTTGACTAAGGAGTTTGAGACCAGCCCAAACAACAGCAAGGTGCCATCTCTACTAACTTAGGAAAATTAGCCAGGCATGGTGGTGCATGCCTGTAGAACCAACTACTCAGGAGGCTGAGGCAGAAGGCTGGCTTGAGGCCTGGAGTTTGAGGTCACAGTGAGCTATGATGGTACCCACTACATGCTAGCCCGGGTGACAAAGTGAGACTCTAACCTTAAAAATAAATGATATATACACGTTGTATGTGATATGTACATACACACATATAACCACGTGAGGTTATTATGAAAGTTTTGACATACACAAAAATAAAGAAGTGCAAAATCTGCATGGAAACTGATGAAGCCTACCAGCAGCACTGATAGGCTGAGCAGGGTGAAGCTTACACGGCTGAATGAGAAAGGATGCTATGTTTCTTGGAAGTGAAATAATGGACTGAAACAAAGTCTATCTCAAAACTTTCATAGGGAATCGTGTGTGTGATACATATATATGTGTGTTTGTATATGTATATAAGAAATGGTTGAGTGCTACAGCTCACATCTGTAATCCTAGCACTTTGGGAGGCCTTGGCCAGAGGATCACTTGAGGCCAGGCATTTAAGACTAGCCTGAGCCACACAACAAGACCCCATCTCTACAAAAAAATAACAAAAAGTTAGCTTGGCGTGGTAGCTACTTAGGAAGCTGAGGCAGGAGGATTACTGGAGCTAAGGAGCTCAGGGCTGCAGTAACCCATGAATGATCACACATACCACTGCCCTCCTGCCTGGGCGACAGAGCGTCAGTCTCGGTCTCTCTCTCCTTCTCCCCGTGTGTGTGTGTGTGTGTGTGTGTGTGTGTATGAGAAATACTCGTATCATGGTGGACATCATTCCAATCCTTCTCATTCTTGCATGCCGCCATCCCCACCACCACCACACCAGTGTACCAACGAGCCTGTCTTACCTGTCCCTGGCTCCCACATATGTCTATTCTGTGATAATATTTCTGCTGGAGCTCCGTATTACCTCATAGAAACCATTTATTATTCCCTTTCTTTTGCAGCCCACACTCAGAATTCACAGAACAGAACCAAGCCTGACTAGACTTTAATTTGGTGAATGTCACATTTTAGTAATATTCCTGCTGATCTGAAGTAATTAACTTAGTAAATATTCTGAATCCTTTATTTTTACAGAAGATTCTCAGGTATGCCTGCTTTCTCTTCCCTCAGTTCTCACCTGGATAACTGCAATATAATATAGTCTCTACAACCCATAGGCAGAGTGGTCTTTCTAAAATGCAAGTAGAATCATGTTCCTCCCAACTTAAAATAGCTTCCTGTCATCCATTTTAATTAATTCAATTCCAAATTTTCCTTTGACCTAAAGGCCTCCTTAACTCTCAGGTCTCCTCTCATGCTTCTCTCTCAGATGTTCTGTGCCACCTCAGCTTCTGGCACTTTCTCAAACTCAGCTTGTTCTCTGCTGCCTCAGGGCTGGTGCACATGCTGTTCCTTTGGCCCAGAACTTTCCTCACTGCATATCTGTTTTCTGCTCTCTCCCTCCTGCAGCCCTTCAGGGGACTGACCCCCTGCCCGAGCAGAGGCCAGTATGTCCAGAAGCCTCTCAAGGAGGCATGTGCTCCATCGGCCCTTGTTGGTGGCTTTCCTCATAGCCCTGGACATATGTTCAGCTGCATGATTATCCATAGTGCTTTATTTAATGTCTTTCTGATCTAGGAACCTTGTCCATCTGGTCACCATGATGCCTTCCTACACAGAGCCAGTACAGAGACTAACATGTAGTCTGGCACACAATAGGCTTTCTGTATATCGGACTCAGATATATAAATTTACATATAATGTAATTTGAAACATAGAGTAATATATCCTTACTTTCCAATGGATATATAAGATAAGCTAACAACATTATACAGTGGGGGTTCTTCTAGTTCTTGTTTTAATGAACACATAGTAACCATATAGAACTGCATACTAATAGATAATATTCCTAAGTATTTAAGAATAGTTTATGTTTCTAGATAGTTTTAACCTTTCTCTTTGAAGTCTGGTTCCAGGTCATACTCTCCTTGGAAAATTTCATTTTGGCTAATGCCAAGGCTTAATAGCCACTAAATTATTAGAAATTTTGACTTACTGTACTCATGAATTCAGTTAACTGTAATGGCACAATTGTGTTTTAAATAAAAGTTTTACTTAAAAAAAAAATTTAAGCATATAAAGGTGTAAAGAGAGTCTGATGAACTTTCATGTACCCATAATGCAATTTCAACAGTTACTAGCTTCTGGCCCTTGTTTCATCTCTACCCCTCAGGCCCTATCATGTTGTCACAAAGCAAATCTGAGGCACCACTGCATTTCATCCATACAGACTAGACTTTAGCAGGTGCCCGTCCAAGAGGAAGACCCTTTAAAAGAAACTATAGTACCAATAGCATACCTGAAAATTAATAATGTGTAGTAAGTCCTTAATACATGTATCATTAAATGTCCAATCAGTATTCAATTCTATGGTTTTTTGCTTTTAACTCAGTTTATGCAAATCAGGACTCAACTTTCTCTTTTTTTTTTTCTGCTTCTTCATTGTGTGTGTGTGTATTTTTTATTGTTTGGATTCATTGAGGGTACAAAGAGTTAGGTTACACTGATTGCATTTGTTAGATAAAGTCCCTCATATATATATACATATATATATATATATATATATATTTTTTTTTTTTTTTTTTTTGGAGACAGAGCCTCAAGCTATCCCCCTGGGTAGAGTGCTGTGACATCACAGCTCAGAGCAACCTCCAACTTCTGGGCTTAAGCAGTTCTCTTGCCTCAGCCTCCCAAGTAGCTGGGATTACAGGTACCCATCACAGAGCCCAGCTGTTTTTTGGTTGTAGTTGTCATTGTTGTTTGGCAGGCCCAGGCTGGATTCGAACCTGCCAGCTCTGGTGTATGTGGCTGGCACCTTAGCCACTTGAGATACAGGTGCTGACCCTTTTTTTCTTTTTTTTTCTTTTAAAGGAGTCATTTATCTTATAGAATTTCCCACATTCTAGATCTTGCTGCTTTCTTTCCTATGGTGTTCTTTAAAATGTTCCTTTTTTCCTTAAATTTCTTGTAAACTGAAAATCAGATGAAAAATTTAGGCTTTTATTCATATTTGAAATTCTAAAAAAATAAATCCACTGTAGTTCAATGCCTTATTAGCTAAATTCTTGAATTCCAATTTTTTGAATGATGACTTTGCTTCATCTTAACAATTTTTTTACTTCTCAGATTTGGCAAGAAGAAAAACATACATTTGCTGTTTGTTTTTATAATCCCTGAAAATTTTAAAGGTATGTGTCTGCTATATATAATACTTGTTTTTTCTCCAAATAGAAATCATGAGGTCAATATTTAATACAAAGACTCTTAGGTTGTATTTCAGGGCATGGAGCTGACATTATTTTGACTGAACCCCTGACAGTAGAAAAAATGACTATTGTGGCAAAATACTGGAAAACATATTTTTCAAATACAGGTGAGTAAAAACTGTCATTGTTGTTTGGCAGGCCCGGGCTGGATTCAAATATTTAGTAAATTTCTGAATATTTGAAAATTATAATTAAAATTCTGTGAAAATTATGTACATTTTCAAACTGGTTTTCCACTTACGCCTTTTATCTGCTAAGGGTTAACTGTTTGCTGTGCACTGTGAAGAACATATAATCTTTGTTAATCATGGTCTGAAGAAAACAAGTTTAAATAAAATAGAGAAATACATGTTCTTTACCTGTGAATAAGAAAATTAACATCTTTAGAAGTTTAAAATGTGTTGCAGAAGGGCAGATAGCATCATGGTAGCCACTGGATTATATATTTATTTTCTTTGGTAGCAAGATTGTGTTACTATTTTTTTGGAAGTGGTAGCCTGGCTACCATAATTTCTTAGTCATTAGAATGGAATTAATCATGCTGTGTCATTGTCTGATTATCTAAAAGCCAAGAGCATTAAGCTTAGATTGTATATTAATTTTGGCTTTACAAAACACTTGCATATAAATTATCTTACTTTAACAAGATGGTTGTCCTTTCTGTTTTAGATTTTTAGTCACAGAGAATTAGTGTCAATGCTTCAATAGAAATCACATTTCTAAACTCTTTATTATATTATGCATATCACCAACATCTACATACTTAATTAAATTAGCTTTAATTTCTAAAATAACATTTTACTGTAATCATTATTGGCCAGTGACTACTTTTGGTCTTTCTAGGCCAGGGATGCTAGTTATAGGAAATATTTTAAAATCTAGATGATCTTAAATGGGACACGTTGGTCACAGGGTATAGTTTAATTTGTATAAAATAAATAAATTCTAAAACTATTCAACAGTGTGACTAAAATTAATGCCGTCTTGTGTACTTGAAATTTGCTAAGAGGGTAGATCATAAGAGTTCTTACTACAAAAAAAAAGTAACTATGCAAGATGATATGCTAATTAACTTGATTGTGGTGATTATTTCACAATATAGATGTATATCAACTCAAGTTGTCAGTTATACCCCAATCAAGCTGGAAAAATTTTTTAAAAATTAAGATGATATTTTTCTTAAAATGCGCCTTAAAGATACTTCCAGAACTATCCTTTCTGAGCTCATATTCCCCACCATACAGGATTCAGTGCACCTGTCCTTTTTATTAATGTTCTTTAACATTCAGACGCAGGAGCCTGTTCGCCAACATTCCAAAAGCTCCCAGCCCCTGCCGGCTTAACATTCTTCCTGGAAAAGGCTAACCATGGTGACCAAGGTCTTTTTGCAACCTCTTCTTATCTGGTTCTTGGTGGAAATAGAACAACTGCTCCTCACTTGTCCACACCCTTCTCTTGATCATGACCATGTCTGCTTCCAGTCCAGTTGTCCCATCTTTGCTCAGAGGACGAACAGCTGCAAAATAATAAATAAATAAAATTAGATGCTGTATTTCGACAGTGCAGCTGCTATTGAAGACTCATGCATACTTTCTGTCTCTTGACATTTACCTATAAATAGGAACTTGATAAATAAGCACAGTTGAACTGTCTTCAGCATACCTGTCGCTAAGCTACTAGAACCTGATAGGAAGAGGGTATCTTGGGGTGAACAGTATACCTAGTGTTTTAGTTTTTGCTTTCTAACCTGGGTAGTTTTATACATCACAGACTGCAGTGTATAAATTGCTTTCTATTTAAAAAATACTGCTTTGTAAAATCTATCGAGTAAAGAATGATAACTGCTTGGAGTTGTATTAACATGCTGTACCTTTTAAAAGTTTCAGTTAAAAAGGAAAATACTATAAGCATTGAAGAACCTGGATTGCTCCTACAGAGGTCTTGCAGTGAACCCCTGGAATATTTTTCTACTGATCTATTTGCCTGGTTAGTTTTTTGTGTGTGTATCTTTATAATAGTAATATTTAGTATATGCATTTCATTAAAAATACTTCTGGGCTGGGTATGGCAGTTCATACTTGTAATCCCAGCACTTTGGGAGGCTGAGGTGGGAGGATGACTTAGTACAGGAGTTTAAATACTTCTGTACTAAGACAATATTAGCCAGGTATGGTGGCATACACTTGTCATCCCAGCTGCTTAGAAGATTGAGGCAGGTGGCTCGGCGCCTATAGCTCAACTGGCTGAGGCGCC